AAGAGATAACCTACACCTAGTCGGTCTGATTGCAGGATTTTTTTTGTAAAAAAATTATAATTATTATACCAAATTAACAAAATAAAAATCCGGGGGGGGGGCCCCCCCCCCCCCCCCCCCCCCCCCAACTTTGGCCCCCCAAAACAATTATATTTACCGGTTTAAAAAAATTTTTTCCACGTGATTCTAAATTATGTGGGGTGGAAAAAAAAAAAAAACTGTTCGCTTTGCCCGTCAAAAAAATGTGTTGCATTTGTTCTAGTAATTGTACGAGACACAGAGAGAGAGAGAAAGGGAGAGAGAGGCTGACCTGAAGATATCAGCTGCCTCTGAGAACTGTCTGCACATGAGTTCCCGGGCCATGTACTTGGCATCTCCTTCCACTGCATTGTCCAGATTCTGTGGCAGATGAGCACATGTCGAGTAGTGCGGTGTGGGACCAGCTGCTGGTGCCAGAGCACACCAGGGTGGGGGACATAGTCCCTCTATATCTTCTTCATCTGTCCCCCTGAATATGCCTCCGGGAAGCATATTCAGGAGAACAGATGAGTTCCCAGGGGACACTTTGGCCCCAAAACAGTAAGTGTACTATTATTAGGACCATAAACGTAAACTTGTTGCTAGGGAGGCTCCTCAGGAGCTGGCTCTGTATTCCATGTACACACGCATTTGAATGTGTTTCGAAATGCTAACTGTGCGAGGATACTGCTATAGATGTAGATAGGGAGGAGTACCTGGTCCAGAGAGACACAGAGGCCAAAGTCCCCCAGTTTACAGGAACCGTCACTGGCCAGGAACACGTTGGACGGCTTGATGTCGAAATGACCCAGCTGGTGACTGTGCAGGTGATCCAGTCCCTGGGTTACAACACAGAGGATTAGGTCCAATGCACTCAGTGATGAGGTCAACTTGCTTGGACTAAGGGAAATCCTATAAGGCCTCTATGCATGCCATACATAGAAGAAAAACAGTGCCATTTGCCAAGCGAATACAAGTGACAGTTTCATGAGCATTACGTAAGTGTCATGGCATGAAAAGTGCCATTTAACAACAAATTACTCAGACCACTAGGGACTCTTCGCTTGCCAATTTAGCCCTCCCTTCTTCCTTAGTCCAGCAGAGAAACAGCAGTGACAGTGTGTGTGTGTGTGTGTGGGTATACCTGGAGAAGATCAGCTAGTATCTCCCACACTCTGTGTTCAGGGACTAGGCCATGGAGGTCTGCATACTGGGCTAGACTGTGTGGGTGAGAGAGAGACAGAGCGAGAGAGACAGAGAGAGAGAGAGAGAGGAGAGAGAGGGGTAAGGGAAGATGTCACCTGTAGGCCGTAAGTGGAACCTCTGAAAAATGACACTCGGGATGAAGGATATGGAGGTGTGGCTCCCACCTCCTCCCAGTCCACCCCAATGGATGAGTCTCATAATTTATGACTACTCTATTTCTCAACAAAGGAAACTTGGCCACTAGTAACACTCAATTAAGTGGTAAGGTTTCTTGTTTAGTGCATAATACCTCCGAATAAGGGGAACCTTTCTGTGTCCCCCAGGCAGAGGTGTGGTAAGTGGTCAGTTATTCACTGTATTACCTCATCTGACAGAGCTCGGTCTGAATGTAGAGCAGACCTCTCTCCTCCCAGGCATTGACAAACCCGAGACAGTTGGGATGTCGCGGCAGAGTTTCGTGTCTCTCCACCTCAGCCAGTCTGTTCCGCCTGCAGTCATAGTCACAGTCACACACACACACACAGGATTGCATCACTAACTGAAAATATACTTACTTAGGCCTATGGAAAGTAAGTATATTGCCACTTCATGTTTAATTTATAGGTATATACACCCTTTTGAAGAGTCTGAGGGCATCTTTAGTAGGGAAACCATTCTTACCACTTGCTAGTACTGCATAATCATTGGCCTATTGTGGGGGGCAGGACAAAACCGGGGGGAGATCCCAGTGTGCCCCCCTCTGTATGCAATCCTTCACACATGTAATGAAAAGCACTGAAGTACAAACCCTCGGCGAACTGCGCATGAGCGGTATCGCTAATTGATGGGCTGGGCTATTGGCGTTTACCCGCGGTCTCCCCCTTGACAGAGCAAGCGGATCAGGTCGAGGTATATACGTGGAGCCAGCATTAATTATACCGCGTCTATATGCATGCGCACCGCTTAATGATGGGTTGGGCCACGGAACTCGGTCCGCGACCGTGCCAGTTTGTCGCTCTCGAACGCAGTCATTTCAAGAAAATCGCCTAATAATTTTTCAGGTTTGCGTAGTTCTGAAGCCGTTGGTATCGCTCATTAGCCACCTCGTGGCCTGTAGTGCCAGAATAAGCGTCGACACACACACACACACACAGACAAACCAACTACCATAACCCTCACTGCGCATGCGCGCCGAGGGTTAATGATGTATGCAGAACATCTACCTCTAGTCTACAAAGATCAACAGACAATATTTATTTCCATTAACACACACTCAGCTACACAGAGGATCGGAAGTCAACCTGACTCTACGATCCATTCTCACCTGTCACTTGTCCCCCTGAACCTCTCCCAGCACCTCTTAACAGCATAGAGTCGTCCATCATCTCTACTCCTTGCCTTGAACACCTACAGTTAATGGACACAGTTGACACACGTGGACTTCAACAGTCCATCAAAGAGGGCATTTCACCCAGCTTAGCAAACTTACACTCACATTACTGTATTCAATGAAAAGCACTAAAGCGTAAACCCTCGACGAACTGATACCGCTAATTTACGGGATGGACTATTAGCTATGCGTTTACTCGTGGTCTCCCGCTAGCTCACGCAGAGTGTCTGACACCAGTGAAAGTAGTAGACAGCTTGCGGGAGTCGATACACACCCTTCGTTGTGACTCCTTGTGCCTTTAGATACACAGAGTGAGCGGACCCGCTCGAGGTAAGCTGCACAATGGCTTCTTCACTTGGTTTTCACGCCATAACTTCTCAAAACGCCACACTTACGAAAATCAACAATTTAAAATCAAGCCAGTGTAGCACTGAAACTTATTGGGTATCGCTGACAGACAGACCTAACTGGACCAAGTACCACAACCCTCGCTGCGCATGCGCACCGAGGGTTGGTTAACTAGGAACTAAAGACAGCTCACCTAATTGTCTGAAAATCGTATGTAAAAAAGGCACCATCCGTACTGCAATGTTTTACAAACCATTCGCACTTTTATTATATCGCTACTAATGGGTTGGTTGCATTCGCTCTAGATTTTTCTTTTCCTAATGTTTATAGTGCAGTTACCTCTCCAAAAGAGCCTTCTCCGAGTTTCTCAATCACCTCAAAACACTGTGTGCAGAGAGAGATATACTGGTGGAAGAGAGGTCAGTGGAGCATTCACTGGCTCACCTGGTCAAAGTAGGAGCCGTGGGCTGTGGGTCTGTAGTGAGGACTAGCAAGAACACCTGCACAGCACACATGAATCAACAGTGACACAGTGACACTTTGTACCCCAAGTTGCTCTCACACAAGTTACAGTGGGCAACTGGCTCTACACTCACCATTGGTCTTCCTCTCTGACTTGAAGCTGACCCCTCTTGGCAGGTGGCCGGTCTCGGTGCTCCGTGTGATCCTCGACACAGGCGGACACGACTTGGCCGGAGAGCGAGGCGTGTACTGCGCTCTAAATGGAGTTCGTTTCCTGGCACTAAACGTCTCTTCAACGAAGACGGGCAAGGGTCGTCCAGGAGTGCACATTCTGGCGAATTAACTTCCTCCTTGGCCTCGGGTCTTTATATGTCCTCCACTCCCCCACTATCGCCTGCTCGTTTCCTTCCAGAGTCAGTTTCCCGCCTTTTCAACGTTCTAAATTGTGGTTACGTCATAAGTCAACACGCCCCCCCTGGATGCACACGCGACATGGGCTGGGCATGGCTGTAGGCTTAGCAGCTTCGCCACTGAGTTTCCCAGGGAGTCAGTCATCAGGAGAAGCAGGAGACCATGTTGCAAGGCGTAAAGCTCCACTCCAAGAGCCGCTACTACACCGGGAGGAACGCCAAAGTTGACGGAGACATTTTCTCTTTCCGCGGGGAAGGGGGCTCGGTGGGCGTGGTCAAGATCTTGGAGCCCATGTCTCCGCTCCTGAACTACTACGAGTACCAGATAGTGTGTCGAGGGAGGAAGTGTGCAATCGGAATTGGAGTGGGAGAGCAGGGTTATCCCCTCGACCGCATGCCGGGGTGGAACAGGAACGGCATCGGTTACCATGCCGACGACGGTCGTCTGTTTTTCCAGGACGGTTTCGGTCGGGCGTTTGCTGCCACGTGCGCCGAGGGAGACCACATGGGCTGCGGTATTGACTATGAGGACGACACCGAGGAAGGATATCGCAGTGTCTTCTTCACAAAGAACGGGAAACAGATCGGGGAGAAGGTTAAGATGCGGCGACCTCTCTTTGGGTTCTACCCGATCATAGGGATGCACAGTATGGGGGAGAAGGTGCGCTATCTCGGTCACTGGAGAAGACTCTGTGATGGAGTCCAGGAACCAATGGAACAGGACACCTCTCCCTCCACCTACTGGCTGAGGTCCAACGCGATTAGATTTCTCAGCGATGGACTGACGCTAGAGTATGTGGGCAATGGACTGGATAAGCAAGATGTGGGGATAGCACAGGCGAGACTCCGGCTAGATCAGACCAACCACTACTTTGAGATGGAGATAGTGAGCTGTGGGAAGGAGGGCTGGCTTGCCCTGGGACTCGGGAAGAGTACTTACCCCCTCCACAGACACCCTGGTTGGAACAAGGGTTCCGTCGGGTTCCACGCAGACAACGGCCAGCTGTACAAGGAGAGTGGAGTGGGGGAGGAGTTTGGGCCAAAGTGTACCACTGGCGACGTCATTGGCTGTGGGATTCTGTTCCCGGCCGGCAACTCCGAGACAGAGGACCCAGACGGAGGAGCCAGTCAACAAGACTCTGAATCAGAGTTTGAGTGTGACTCTGAGCACGAGATGATGTATGGGTTCGAGGAGGACGAGGAGTTGGAGGACGACTTTAGCTACGACTCGGACGATGATTTCCCCGAGCTTTTTGAGAGGAACCTCCGCCAGCGCTGGCTGATGAGGGAGAAGGAGAGGAGGGAGCCGAGGAAGGCCTCGCAGAACTCAGACTCCAGTGCACACAGAACTGTCACAGTCTACTTCACCAAGAACGGGGAGAGGGTAGGGGAGACCGCGTGCTCTGTGCCCAGGGGAGGGCTCTACCCCCTCGTGGCCATGCTGAGCCAGGGAGAGCGGTGCAGAGTTGACTTTCACCCTCTATCTGGATAGCCTTATCACAGAATATCTATAGCCCTATGCTGTTCGTTCTGAGTTGCTTGCGTGTGACCGTAATACGATAGTTATTATTTTCCACCGACAACCGCAAACATGTAAATAATATTAGCCGTGTCAATTACTCACAATTCGGGGGCGATCCTTTTTCCATCGTGTATAGGAATTGCATACAAGAAGCCGTACAATGTCACTGAGAAAGATGTACCTTCACATTCCTCGTGATGTCGCCGGGGCAGAAGCTATCACCGTGTCAGGATATAGCTAATTCCTCATTATAGAGCATTGTTGAGGTAGGACCAGTTGCCAAGTAGCTTCTCTACATAATTTATAGTTTGGCATAATACTATTATGACGAAGCGAGCTCCTATTGGCAGTACTCCTAATGAACAGCAGTTGACAGTCTCAAGTCCTGGCTGGGTGGCCTGCCTACCTACCCTCGCAGTCAGGTGCCAGCTGCATACAGAGAGCCATTCATTATGAGTGGCTATCGCAAGACCAACGCCTCTCTCTACGAGTGTCTGGCCTACACTCTGGTGTGGCACAACGATGTCTGCAACTTCTGGTCCCACTTCCTCCCTCTCCTGGTCTGGCTGCCCTGGCTCTGCCTCCTCTCTCTCACCCACCACCTCTCCCAGCCTTTCTACTACCCTCTCCTCTGCTTCTGGTTCGGCAGCTGTGCCTATGCCCTGTTCAGTAGCATCGCTCACCTTTTTGGCGCCAAATCTCACCTGGTCCGAAACGTCTGTTTCATGGCCGACTATATTGGTATTACTATCATTTATGCCGGTGGAGGACTCTATAATCTCCACCATCAACTGCCTCTATCCTCCTCACTCTACGACTACCTCTTTCCTCTTGTGTGCCTCCATTTGCTGGCCTGTGTGGTAGCTTCTCTCTTCAGCTCTCTGTCGCGGTTCTTCTGGTTCAGACAGAGGTTCCTGGTCAGAGCTATGGCCTTCTTTCCAGCCCATGTCATCTGTATCACTCCATTCACTCTGAGGATGTTGTCGTGTGCATCAACTGGACAAGACTGCATCTGGCCCACCATCCATCTCCATTTCCTGTCCAATTCCCTCACTGGGAATGGCGTCTTTTTCTTTGTGAGCAAGATCCCAGAGAGGCTGGCTCCTGGCAGATTTGATATCTTCCCTCACAGCCACACTCTCTTCCACATCTGTGCTGTAGCATTCACCAGTATCCAGATGTACATATTCCCTCAGGATTCTGAGATCAGGAAGACTCAACTACTGGAGAAGGTTTCTCCGTCCTTCATGACTCTGATTCTCCCGTTCCTGGTGATGATATGTGTGGGGCTGGTGCAGGTCCTGTTCCTGGCCTTCCTGCTGATGAGAGGTGTTCTGGTCCCCCACGGAGTGGGCAGCACTCTCTCCTCCCTCCACGGAGGGCCACACACAGTGGACACTCCCTCTGCAAATGGAGACCCCTGTTATAGACCTCCTCTCAAGAAACAGCAGTAATTAGGACATTGAGTATCGCTCCTTTGTAGCTGTTCAGTTGTGTGGAGTATCTTGCTCTGTAAAGCCATTGACTAAATTAACAGCCATTTTCAAATTCAGATGGACTCGACGGTCCACTGATGACGATAGTTCAATGAGCAATTATAGTTAGTGAAAAAGCAGCTTGGGGTGGCTTTCAAGATTCCAACAAAGTGGATTTTGTTCTGTGGGACTCGAAAATGTTGTGGGAATCCTGTGAACTGTGGGATATAGCTATATACCCTATACTGTGGTTATAGAAGCTATGGCCTCTCCTGAATTCTTTCAAGGCCCTGATGCTGATTCACTGTGGTCTAGCTGGTTGTTCCTAGCCTGGTACACCTCCCCCAAAAGTGGTTGATCCAAACGTGTCCATAATTCAGAGGTGCCGCTGTTCTTTCATGTTTTCACATGATAGCCTTGTACCCCTACTGGTGAGCAAATACGAGTCAGGAGTACAAGTTACATAATGTTATATACGACAGTTGACATCATTCGACCGCTTCAGACGAGTAAATAGGTTCACTTTCGTTGTCAATCATTGTTGGTTCAAAGATGTTGTGTTATAAATACTGTACACTGAACACAAAAGCATACAGAACAATTTCAGATGAAAAAACAATTTGATAAATATGTCCGATTACTGCTGTTTCTTGAGAGGAGGTTTATAACAGGGGCCTCCATTTGCAGAGGGAGTGTCCACTGTGTGTGGCCCTCCGTGGAGGGAGGAGAGAGTGCTGCCAACTCCGTGGGGGACCAGAACACCTCTCATCAGCAGGAAGGCCAGGAACAGGACCTGCACCAGCCCCACACATATCATCACCAGGAACGGGAGAATCAGAGTCATGAAGGACGGAGAAACCTTCTCCAGTAGTTGAGTCTTCCTGATCTCAGAATCCTGAGGGAATATGTACATCTGCATACTGGTGAGCGCTACAGCAGAGATGTGGAAGAGAGTGTGGCTGTGAGGGAATACATCAAATCCGCCAGGAGCCAGCCTCTCTGGGATCTTGCTCACAAAGAAAAAGACAACGATCCACGTTAGCAGGATCGATAGGAAATGGAGATGGAAGGTGGGCCAGATGCAGTCTTGTCCAGTTGATGCACACGACAACATCCTCAGAGTGAATGGAGTGATACAGATGACATAGGCTGGAAAGAAGGCCAGAGCTCTGACCAGGAACCTCTGTCTGAACCAGAAGAACCGCGACAGAGAGCCGAAGAGAGCAGCTACCACACAGGCCAGCAAATGGAGGCACACAAGAGGAAAGAGGTAGTCGTAGAGTGAGGAGGATAGAGGCAGTTGATGGTAGATAGAATATACTCCTCCTCCTGCTGTGTAGATAGAGATGCCAATGTAGTCGACCATGAGCTTTAGCTACGACTCAGACGATGATTTCCCCGAGCTTTTTGAGAGGAACCTCCGCCAGCGCTGGCTGATGAGGGAGAAGGAGAGGAGGGAGCTGAGGAAGGCCTCGCAGAACTCAGACTCCAGTGCACACAGAACAGTCACAGTCTACTTCACCAAGAACGGGGAGAGGGTAGGGGAGACCGCGTGCTCTGTACCCAGGGGAGGGCTCTACCCCCTCGTGGCCATGCTGAGCCAGGGAGAGCGGTGCAGAGTTGACTTTCACCCTCTATCTGGATAGCCTTATCACAGAATATCTATAGCCCTATGCTGTTCGTTCTGAGTTGCTTGCGTGTGACCGTAATACAATAGTTATTATTTTCCACCGACAACCGCAAACATGTAAATAATATTAAGCCGTGTCAATTACTCACAATTCGGGGGCGATCCTTTTTCCATCGCGTATAGGAATTGCATACAAGAAGCCGTACAATGCGACTGAGATAGACAGAGGAAGATGTACCTTCACATTCCTCGTGATGTCGCCGGGGCAGAAGCTATCACCGTGTCAGGATATAGCTAATTCCTCATTATAGAGCATTGTTAAGGTAGGAGCAGTTGCCAAGTAGCTTCTCTACATATAGTTTGGCATATATATTATGACGAAGCGAGCTCCTAATTGAGCAGATGACTCCTAATGGAACAGCAGTTGACAGTCCCAAGTCCTGGCTGGGTGGCCTGCCTACCTACCCTCGCAGTCAGGTGCCAGCTGCATACAGAGAGCCATTCATTATGAGTGGCTATCGCAAGACCAACATCTCTCTCTCCGAGTGTCTGGCCTACACTCTGGTGTGGCACAACGATGTCTGCAACTTCTGGTCCCACTTCCTCCCTCTCCTGGTCTGGCTGCCCTGGCTCTGCCTCCTCTCTCTCACCCACCACCTCTCCCAGCCTTTCTACTACCCTCTCCTCTGCTTCTGGTTCGGCAGCTGTGCCTATGCCCTGTTCAGTAGCATCGCTCACCTTTTTGGCGCCAAATCTCACCTGGTCCGAACCGTCTGTTTCATGGTTGACTATATTGGCATCTCTATCTACATGGCAGGAGGAGGAGTATATTCCATCTACCATCAACTGCCTCTATCTACCTCACTCTACGACTACCTCTTTCCTCTTGTGTGCCTCCATTTGCTGGCCTGTGTTGTAGCTGCTCTCTTCAGCTCTCTGTCGCGGTTCTTCTGGTTCAGACAGAGGTTCCTGGTCAGAGCTCTGGCCTTCTCTCCAGCCTATGTCATCTGTATCACTCCATTCGCTCTGAGGATCTTGTCATGTGCATCAACTGGACAAGACTGCATCTGGCCCACCATCCATCTCCATTTCCTGTCCTTCCTGCTAACATGGATCGCTGTGTTTTTCTTTGTGAGCAAGATCCCAGAGAGGCTGGCTCCTGGCAGATTTGATATCTTCCCTCACAGCCACACTCTCTTCCACATCTCTGCTGTAGCACTCACCAGTATCCAGATGTACATATTCCCTCAGGATTCTCAGATCAGGAAGACTCAACTGCTGGAGAAGGTTTCTCCGTCCTTCATGACTCTGATTCTCCCGTTCCTGGTGATGATATGTGTGGGGCTGGTGCAGGTCCTGTTCCTGGCCTTCCTGCTGATGAGAGGTGTTCTGGTCCCCCACGGAGTTGGCAGCACTCTCTCCTCCCTCCACGGAGGGCCACACACAGTGGACACTCCCTCTGCAAATGGAGGCCCCTGTCATCAACCTCCTCTCAAGAAACAGCTGTAATCAGACATTGAGTACTGCTCCTTTGTAGCTGTTCAGTTGTGAGGAGTATCTTGCTCTGTAAAGCCATTGACTAAATTCAGCCATTATCAAATTCAGATGGACTCGGGCACTGATGACGATAGCACTAATTTCTTTTACCAATGAGCAATTATAATTATTTAGTGAAAAAGCAGCTTTTGTTCTGTGGGACTCGAGAATGTTGTGGGAATCCTGTGAACTGTGGGATGTATGCTGAGAGTAAGATCAAAGGAATTCCAGTAGTCCAAACAACGTAGATGCGTAGTAAAGGCTTCCTGCTCAGTCTACGGGGGTGGGTAGTTAACCCTCGGCGCGCATGCGCAGCGAGGGTTACGGTAGTTAGTCGTTCTGTGTGTGTCTGTCTAGTCTGTGTGTGTGTCTGTTACCACGTTTTCTGCCACCACGCGCAACAAACCGGCCAAAAAGCGACACCAACAGGTTCAGCGCTACACTGGCTTCATTTTAAAATGGCGATTTTCGTAAAACTACTGCGTTCAAGAGTTATGGCGTGAAAACCAAGTGAACAAGCCAATATGCTAATTAGCACAGGCTTATCTCGACCAGGTCCGCTCGCTCTGTGTATCTTGAAGGCAAAAGAAGTCACAACGAAGGGGCGTGTATCGACTCCCGCATGCTATCTACTACTGTAGCTAGCCCGTGTCAGACTCTCCGCGAGCATGCAAGCAACTAGCAGTCAAGTAAACGCATCATTGAGCGGTTCCGCGCATGCGCAATTCGCCGAGGGTTTGCACTTTTAATAGTGCGAACAAATATAGAGGCCATACAAGTTCCCCATACTTTAGCTGTATGTCAACTTATTTGCATAAACCACAGTGGGTCTACAGGAGTTAGGAAATTGGCAGCGTGGAATGCAATTGGGGGCTTTTACACACTTTGTGTGCTGTTGTTTCTTTACCAGAAGGGACTTTTTCAGGCTAGAATGGCCAGAAACTGCTCTAACTAGCGAAAGCTGCATCCCGACGCGTAGGCTCCCGTGGACTGGAACAGTATTCGGTAACTTTCAGCTTTGTTGCTACTGCAACAGGCTGCATTCCGGGGTATAGCGGGAGAGAAAGCGAGCCAGAGCGGCAGCTACAAAACTCGGGCGAGAAATGACCGTGGCTTCTGCACAACCGCCCAGATTGACTAAACTAAAACGCTTATTGCTCTCTCCCCGATCGATTGCTAGCTAGCTAGCTCTCTCCGTACACTCGAGGGTGTGCGTTAAAAAGAGGGCGTTTTGAAAGCTTTTGCGCAATCTCATTGGTCAGAGCCTTACCGCCGGATGTCATCATACAAACACGTTATAGGATGACATTGGCTTGTGGTCTACTGGTTGCACACTCGTGGCTTCAGTTTTGATAGACCACGCCCTCGTGCCCTATCAAAACTGGCCACTCGTGTATATACAACCACGCGGCGCCGCCATCGTATAACCTATACATATACCTGTACTTTGTGGTTGTAGTAGCTATGGCTTCTCCTGAATTACTTTTGAGGCCCTGATGTTGATTCACTGTGGTCTAGCTGGTTGTTCCTGACCACCACTATTCACCTTACTATGTGAGGTCTGTCAAGTGCTAATTATTTCTGATATGACTATATCCCACGCTCAGTCTCAGTCTGTGTGTGGAGACTATACAGCAGGAAAGTTGTCTGGGCAATGGTAAGTTTTAAGTTTGGATGTCTGGGAACTAAGACCATTTACCATACAAAAAACCTCTCATAAAGGACACTCCAAATTAAACAGCTCAATAAAGGACACCCTTTGAACTCCCAAACACTCATTATTCTATTATTAACCTCCACTAAGAGCCTGGTACACCTCCCCCAAAAGTGGTTGATCCCAACGTGTCCATAATTCAGAGGTGCCGCTGTTCTTTCATGTTTTCACATTACCCCTATATACTGGTGAGCAAAAGCACGAGTCAGGAGCACAAGTTACATATCATGTTATGTACGACAGTTGACATCATTCGACCGCTTCAGATGAGTCTATAAATAGGTTCACTTTCTTTGTCAATCATTGTTTGTTCAAAGATGTTGTGTTATAAATACTGTACACTGAACACAAAAGCATACAGAACAACTTCAGATGGAAAAACAATTTGATAAATATGTCCGATTACTGCTGTTTCTTGAGAGGAGGTATACAACAGGGACCTCCATTTGTAGAGGGAGTGTCCACTGTGTGTGGCCCTCCGTGGAGGGAGGAGAGAGTGCTGCCCACTCCGTGGGGGACCAGAACACCTCTCATCAGCAGGAAGGCCAGGAACAGGACCAGCACCAGCCCCACACATATCATCACCAGGAACGGGAGAATCAGAGTCATGAACGACGGAGAAACCTTCTCCAGCAGTTGAGTCTTCCTGATCTCAGAATCCTGAGGGAATATGTACATCTGCATAGTGGTGAGTGCTACAGCAGAGATGTGGAAGAGAGTGTGGCTGTGAGGGAAGATATCAAATCTGCCAGGAGCCAGCCTCTCTGGGATCTTGCTCACAAAGAAAAAGACAACGATCCACGTTAGCAGGATCGATAGGAAATGGAGATGGAAGGTGGGCCAGATGCAGTCTTGTCCAGTTGATGCACACGACAACATCCTCAGAGTGAATGGAGTGATACAGATGACATAGGCTGGAAAGAAGGCCAGAGCTCTGACCAGGAACCTCTGTCTGAACCAGAAGAACCGCGACAGAGAGCCGAAGAGAGCAGCTACCACACAGGCCAGCAAATGGAGGCACACAAGAGGAAAGAGGTAGTCGTAGAGTGAGGAGGATAGAGGCAGTTGATGGTGGAGATTATAGAGTCCTCCACCGGCATAAATGATAGTAATACCAATATAGTCGGCCATGAAACAGACGTTTCGGACCAGGTGAGATTTGGCGCCAAAAAGGTGAGCGATGCTACTGAACAGGGCATAGGCACAGCTGCCGAACCAGAAGCAGAGGAGAGGGTAGTAGAAAGGCTGGGAGAGGTGGTGGGTGAGAGAGAGGAGGCAGAGCCAGGGCAGCCAGACCAGGAGAGGGAGGAAGTGGGACCAGAAGTTGCAGACATCGTTGTGCCACACCAGAGTGTAGGCCAGACACTCGGAGAGAGAGATGTTGGTCTTGCGATAGCCACTCATAATGAATGGCTCTCTGTATGCAGGTGGTACCTGACTGCGAGGGTAGGTAGGCAGGCCACCCAGCCAGGACTTCGGACCGTCAACTGCTGTTCCATTAGGAGTATCTACTACATTTTGGGGCCCAGACTCTCGCTTCATACTTGCTAAAATGGTCAATGACCCTGGAAGATAGAGAAGACTACACACTAGTATAATTATACAACGCAATGTAATCAACTGAGCTGGGGACTGTCGGGCTACCACAACATTGACTCAACTCACCAAGACAGTTAAAAAGTGTCGCGCAACGTTGTGGTCCAATATCGACAACTGAACACAACAGAGCTCTAGAGCCAGGGACGCGAGTAGAACTCTTTATGCAAAAAGGGGGTGTGTCCTTGGGGTCAAAGTGTATTAACGCATGCGATCTGAAGGACAATGTTCGGAGTAGTGGCCTCTGGGAAGTTGGTAAGACCTGAGTCCAGAGATGTATGGTGACAAGCTGCGGCTAGGTGTAGATAGGGTTTTTGTGGCACCAATCTGCACTGTGTTGGTGTACAGATGCTAGTAGCTATCATGCATGTAGAAAATAAGCTTACCATGTGATGCTAAGAGAAAAAGGGCTAGCATGCACACTGAGTGAGAGTACACTGTGTACTTGGGTTAGGTTTGAGCCCCTACCTGCTACCTACTGAGCTGCCCTGGTAGCTCAGCCGTAGAACGCTCCCCTACAATTGGTTTGAATCCGACCCAGGGCAGCTCTTGGCTGTAGTTTGTTTTCCTTCACGACACCCAGCGATGCCATTCATCTGCCTGTATCTGCAGGTGAACACTAACGTCCAGGAGGCAGGAGTCAATGAGTATTTCCTCACTCTGGAGGATGCTCTGTCTGTCAACCACATTGTGGTGTTCTTGACAGGACAGATTCCTTTCTCTGAGGGGTTTGGGGGCTCAATCTATCTCGGGTGGCCTGCCGAGGGAGGGGGCATGTCCTGGCAGCTGCTTGGCTTCATCAGCAACAGCAAACCCAGCGCCATCTTCAAGATTACCAAGGTGACCAGTCAGAATCCCTGCTGCATGTCTCCTAACCTTTGGCGGCGTGCATCATCTCTTTCATCTATTGTCAACCTTCCACACTGTTGCAGTTTACTCGGGCTAGAATTAAACAAATATCTGTCGGGTTTCCTCAGGCAATACATTATAATAAATTATGTTTTCTTGTGTGAACTGAGCATTATCATGCTGTGCACTAAAAAGGATAAGTAGATGCTGGAGCACTCTAGACCTACATATTATGTTGAAACCCTCGGGTGATGTAGTGCTCTCACTGTTTAGGTCTAAGTAAACATGTACAAGTAGTGGAATAGATTGTCAGACTATAATCGTCGTTTCCCGCACACTCCAGGTGAAGCCAAGTGAGACGGTGACTCCGTTTGGACAGGAGATGATGGCCACGGTGGGTCACCACTCCACGGCCATGGTGGGGCTCAGGGTGGAGCCTCTGGACCAGCTGGCACAGGAGACCCCGGCCAGCGGGACCCAGCCATCCAGTCTCAGCAACATGAGCGAGTTCAGCCAGAAGATGTTGGAGAACTTGTTCAACTTTGCCAGTTCGTATGCAGTGGACCCCACGCGGTCGGCTCTGACCCCCGGGGAGACTTACATACCAGCCGCGGCCCTCAGACAGTGGTACTCCAACTTCCAGAGAAGACTCTCTTTAAACCCAAACTTTTGGAAGACACTCTAGGAGCATGTCACTCCAGTGAGAATTATTGTTGCTGTTGTTGTGCCTTGCTCTAGATGTTGCCGTTGCTAGTCACCTGAATCGGGTATATGATTTTTCTGCGTATATATACCACTTTCAGTCACAAAATGTAAATTTACACCACTTCTAGTAGAAGTGTCAACAAAACTCGCACAATTGTGAACTTTGACCCGGTACGCAGGCTGCATTATGTACCTCGTAAAAACCACCCACGCATCCTCAGAAGTGGTCGGTCGGAGCTTTGGATGTGGCGGTCGGAGCTTTGATGTTCCTTTCATCTACCCTTTCAGTACAAAAAAATAGCGAAAAGGTCCGGATTGAGTGAGGCATGTCGTAAGCAGGCTGAAAGGCAGGCACAGAGTCTGTGCGTAGGTCTGTAAAACGACAGGAAGAAAGATCGCCGTGTGTGACTGAGAGATATAAACAAGGCACTGTCCGTATCATGGTTAACGAAATTCTGATGTGTATTCAGTGTGTTCACTTGCTGATATAGTATTAATACTACAATAATTTTTTGGTGAGTGAAGTGAGCAGTTCAATTTTACGCACGTTTCGTGCATATTTAGAATCACGTAGAACATCACGGTACAGCAGCAGTGTGGACCACACCCACAACATTATGGGCTTCCTTGTCACCCAATCATACCCCAGATCACATGTCACCCAATAATAATGAAGCACACACAGAGAGTGTGTCCATTGAGTCAGCCAGTGGTGTTCATCAGACAGTAGTGACAGTGGGGCTCAGTGTGGGGGAGGAGGGGTCAGCAGGTGTGGCGACCTCCACTGGCTCTAGAGACTGCTGTACTCCCTCCGTCACAGCCTGCTTCCCTCCCTCCCCTCTCTCTCCCTCTCCTCTCCCTCCCTCCCTCTCCCTCCCTCTCCCTCCTCCCTCCCTCTCCTCTCCCTCCTTCTCCTCTCCCTCCCTCTCCTCTCCCTCCCTCCCCTCTCCCTCCCTCTCCTCTCCCTCCCTCTCCTCTCCCTCCCTCTCCTCTCCCTCCCTCCCCCCTCTCTCCCTCCTCGGTAGGGCTAGGTACAAATAAACACCTAACAGTAACAACATCTAATAGAAACTCTGGCTTACTTTTGACTGGCAGCTCCTATCTGTGAAGACTTGCTGGTGACATTAGAACTCTGTGGTGTAATATGTAGAGAGACCGTAGTGGACTAGATTAAACACTCATACTCTTTGCCAACTGGGCCACTGTCAACTCGGCAACTATATTGGCAAGTTCGGTAAGGTCAACAGCACACTATAGAACACCAGAGGAAAAGAAGTGTGTAACCTCACACTGTTCGTCGATATAAGCTCTATGGACGTCTACTGGAGTCACACACACTTCCTCTTCTGTGTTCTATCATGTGCCTTTGGTGTGGTATTGAGATGTGCAAAATGCCAATTAGTTGCCCAGCTATGGTTACACTGCATGATCACAGTAAACAAGGCACTAACTGTATTACCAACAATCTTTAGATGGCCCTGGCTACTGCAGACTGCCAACTAGCCTGCCTTCGTGCACACACACAGCGACCTCGTACAATAACATGACCCATTGCTCATGTGAACATCATGCAATGCAGGCGTGGTACTGTATATAATGTACCTGCTGTAGTTTGATAAGAGCAAGGCAGTCTTTCACTGTGTGTACAGCAGCCTCGGACGTGGCCTTCAGCAGCAGGACATCGTCACCCACTGGACTCACCCCAGTCCCTGAACAATTCTGCAGTGGACAGTATAGGTACAGTATATCTGCTAACCCAATACTCAAACATCTCTCAAACTGAAGATTGTGCAGCAGTATATACTGTTGCAGAACTCCAATTTTGGCAAACTGTACAAGTCTGGCGCACACACGAGCAGGCCGATGCACAGTTGATGTAGTTGTCACATCACACAGACAAATTGACAACTTATAGAAAGAGTACATCTCATGCACATACCATGCATCATGCACAATAGCCTCTGATTACAGGGGCAGGGGGAGAGAGGGGAGCTTACCCCTAGCTGACTGCAGTATACAATAGCCTCTGATTACAGGGGCAGGGGGAGAGAGGGGAGCTTACCCCTAACTGACAATAGCTCTGATTACAGGGGCAGGGGAGAGAGGGGAGCTTACCCCTAACTGACAATATCCTCTGGTTACAGGGGCAGGGGGAGAGAGGGGAGCTTACCCCTAACTGACAATATCCTCTGGTTACAGGGGCAGGGGGAGAGAGGGGAGCTTACCCCTAACTGACAATATCCTCTGATTACAGGGGCAGGGGGAGAGAGGGGAGCTTACCCCTAGCTGACTGCAGTATACAATAGCCTCTGATTACAGGGGCAGGGGGAGAGAGGTGTCTACCTCTAGCTGGGAGGTGAGGGTTGTCTGGTAGTCTATCAGTCTGGTGAGCAGCTCCAGCATGGCATCTCCTCCGGGGAGACTGTCTTCCTGCTCCACTGCCTGGCCACTCCTCCTGTTCACACATACACACAGTTATCACATCTGACTTCCGTGTATGAGAGAAAACACTTGCAATTGGTTAGGAAGTTTGCTGAGAAAAATGCTGTGGATTGCCTATCTTGCGATAAAATGACCCAGCCAGCAAAATTATTATATATAGAGGAGAAAACGCTTGTCAGCAAAAGTTGAAGTTTCCGACTACATTATACGGCACAGTGCCACGTTTTCAAGGAGAAATTTGTTGAGGTTTTGAACATTCAGTAGTTTTTCACTCTTATGGCGCTGGTCTTTTAATGTTCTCACACCCTGGATATACACTGTGAAGGCTCTGGAAAAGAGGGATACCTTGGGACATGGAAGTGTCCTTATTCAGAGGCTTCCTTTATCCTAGATGGAACTATAGTGGAAGTAACACGTCTCTATAGAAACGACGGCGTCTCAGAGGAAAATCACGCAGCAAAAGCTCTCATGATGGCCGACTTCTGGAAATTGCAAACCTCTACGTTGGTATGGCAGACCAAGTGTCACTTATAGAAGAGTGTCCAAAGGGTCTCTTTTCGGAAGTGTATATACCTGGATTTGAAGACCTCTTCTCTCAGACTGGCTCGAGAGGCTAAGCGGCGAGGCCACGCCCCTTGGAGCGGGACTGTTCCTGGTAGGTGTGGTCTACTGTGAGGAGGGGGAGAGAGAGTGGTGGTTGTGGTGACAGGTGAGAGTGGGGAGACTGAGATGGACGAGTGCTGGGTGTGCTGAGACTGGAGTGGTGCTGGCAAATGGACCTGGGGACAAACGTTTAGCAAATCATCCACATTCTGATTCTTCGTGACATTGCTTTGCGTGAGATGTTGTGAAAGTACTTATACGCTTGACTTCTAGCTTTCGCTTCTACCGTCGTTGTGGACTACATGGCTAAGCCAATCCTGATCTCGTCAAAACTTAAAGTGTTGCAGATTTCGTTGAATGCCTTTGCCGTTGTGACTTGTTTTGATGAGGTA